GGCTGTATTCACCAAGGCAGACACCTCTCCCTCAGAAGAGCCGCATGTCTTGAGGCTGTCTGAAAGTGACACAGCTCTTTGGAATTAGCCGCGTGCCCTTTCATTACAGTGAGGTTGCATGTATTTACATACGTGCCCACTTAGGCACACATGCAGAGTCATCCCAAATTAATTCAGGGGTTCAACAGCGGTTCATTGGCAGTGATCAGCTCCCTCTTACGCAGTCAGGGGTGAACCTGACCAGGTGCAGCCCTGGCTGCCAGTCAGTCCTGGTCCTGACCCAGCATCTCTTTTCTCTTCGTGCAGGATCTTTGTCTTACGATGATTCTCTTTTACACCCCATTCAGTTTTATACCCATTTCCCACATAAGCCTGTTAGAGATATAATATTAATTATCCAGAAATCTCAGCCTGCAATTGCTCCAACATCATTCTTTAATGAATACAGGCTTCATTGCGTGTATTTCTATCACTTTAGCTACTTTTATTTCTATTTTTATTGCACAGATCTGTGCAAATAAAAATGTATCAGAAGGTAAGGCTATAAATGTGCTCTGCTAAATTCCCTCAGCTTTGACATGCCTGTGAACTGCTGCTGCGGAATGCCTGCTGCATTTTAATGCCTTTCTCCAAGGGCAACATGATATGGGAGCAGTAACTCTGGCTTTGGAGTCGCACAACTCCTGGTCCACCGTCCAACACGGTGCTGCTCAACTTCTCGGGAGCCTCGGTGTTCTCCTCTGTGAAATGTCAGTAACAGTGTCATCCTCATAAATTTCACTGAGGGTTAAATGAGACGAATGACGTGTGTAAAGCATAAATATTATATAGGAGCGTAATAAACATTGGTTTCCTTTCTGCGGCCTGCAGCCATAATGGGAGGAGACTGTGGCGTGCCCAAATGGGCGCTCATTTCAAAGTGCACTTCAGTGGCGTTAGTCGTGACCTGGCAATAATAAGATCAGATTTTGAAGGAGCACATGATGCCTTACTGTGATATTTATTGCATCTGGGCATATATTACAATAGGTGGCTATGAACAAAAAGACACTGCTTCTGATCTCCATTACAACTTAAACTCTGTCCAGCTCTCAAGTGTTCTAAGAGCCTATTTAACTGCATATCTTTCTTTAAAGGCATAGCTAGTATAATCCACAAGAAATCGCTACAAAATAAATCTGTTTTGTTATACTGTTTAAATTCATTTAATGTAAAATTTTAGCACATTGAAAGTATAGGAGTGGCATTGATCACCTACATATAGATACAGCTATAATAGGAACCTTTTTTAAAAAAAATAAGAATAGCTAACTTTATCCAGTGAACAGCTAATACAGAAAGGCTAATTTTCTAACTAGCCACTTGGAGATGGGGTTACTGATGCATTGCCTGAATTTATATGGTTGCGAGAGTGTTTGAGGTCCATCATAATCTGGCATCAATTCTGAAGCTATTGGGCAAAAGATTTCTTAGAATCACTACTGCTAAGTTCCATCAAGCCAGAAAAATAGAACAGGTAGCATGTAATAGAAGGAAAGTAGGAGTCCTCAGAAAGTAAGTTGTTAAGACTAGCCTTAACTTTCGTTCTGGTCCAGTAAGTTGCTAGCGGACTCAGTCTCTAAGATATAAATAAGATGAAGGAAAAGGCCCAGTTGAAGATAGTGCACAGGAGTAGAAAGACTAGTCTTTGAAGTCAGATAGACCTTGAGCATCTTGTATTAGCCATGTTTTCTCATCTCTATGGAGCAAAACAATAAAAACCTACCTTTCAATTTTGTTTGATATTTTGAGATATTTACAGCACCTGTTACACAAGAATTAAAAATAAACTCAAGCGCCAGCTCTTGCGGATTGGTAGTGGCTTTCCGAAGTTCTCAGCTGAGAAGGATTCTAAGACCGTGTCTGGGGTCCCTGGGAGAGGGTGCTGCAATGGATTAGTGATGTCTGCTGTGGGCAGAAGGTGGAGTCAATGAAAGTCTGTATCAGTATATTTGCTATATAAGTTTCTATGAATTAAAACTATTATGATTATTGCTGCTATTACGACAGTGGTATTTTTATGTTTATTTTCAAGTTTCTGAATCCTCAACACAAAATGGAATCAATTAACTGCTTTGGTTGCAATAGCTGTGTATCTTATTTTTATGATGTGATGGTGAACTTGTGTATATTATCTTCAGAGAAGAGCTGAAAAATGAAATCAGAATTTGCTGTTCCTAATTTTATTATATAACAAACCCACTTGAAAAAGAAGATACGGGCACTAACAGTAGAATGGGGGTCGGAGAGGGGAGAAAAAATAAGAGACAACGTTGAGATGTAGTCCCAGGTTATGACAGGTTTGCACAGTTTCCCATATCTTCTTTAAAATAGTCACACAAGGGAGAAGGGGCAGCATGTCTTGCACTTAGATGGTCCATGACTCCCTAGACTTTTTTCCCGTTTTTCCTCTGAGGCCAGATTTCTTTTCTGGGTAAATAGTCATGTTCCTGTCAGCTATCAGAGATTTTCTGAATCCTAAACAGCTGATTTTGTATTCCTGCCCCAATCCCTCTATCTGAGAACTGAAATCTGATCAAACCCATATTTTGAAATTTATGTATTTATAGACATATAGAAGAGTAGTTTACAGTCTGAGTATGTTTTTTTTCTCCGCCACAAATGTAGGAACATGGTGGGTATGTTTTTTTAAACAGTGCCTTATCAGTTTCTTTTATTTATTTTTTTATTACTGATGACTTCATTCTGCTTGAATTCAGTGCTTCAGTTTCTTTGGGTAAACTAATAGATTATGTATGTGATGTTTGCACTGTGTTGATTAAACTTATCTGGTGAGTTTGAGTGCGGCTCATGCATTCACATAATCGGTAGAAGCCTGCACATTGGATACAGGTAACATTGTCAGCTCATAGTACTCGAGAGCGAGGGAAGCTGTTGCAGATAGCTTCCCATTGTCCAGAGAAGCATATCAGGCCTTCCATTTATTTTTTATCTTTTTCAAGTGCTCAAGAAAAACTTCTACTTAAAAAAAAAAAAAAGCATGGTGTAGAAACAGAATTATTTGAGAGTTTTAAAATACATATTGGAAAAAAAATAAAGGCATGTGATCTGTAAAGGTTTGTCTTTTCTTAATCAAAGACATCAGCTACTTTGATTACTGTAAGGCATATAGGAAGCCCAGAACCCAGTAATAACTTTGTAGAGAGGTTATAAGTTACTGACACATGGTCCTGCTCTCATTTAACTTTCAATCTAGTCTGGAAAGAATGCTTTTCCTCCAAAAGATGTTTACTCGCCATTTTCTTGTTATAGTTTACAAGTATAATTTTTAAGTGTCTTAACAAAATAGTAGGTGACCTTTTTCTATTGTTTTCATAGATCTTATTTTATAATATATCTTATTTAAACTTAAAACTCAACTGTAATATTTGGGGGATCTCTTGGGCATGTAAAGTACTTCACAGTGGGGTCCCTACTTACCTTTCTCAGTTACACCTGTCTCTCTCCCCTGCTTCCTCCCTGTATACTAGAGCAGTGATTCTCACGTGCTCATGAAACATGAGTGTCATTATGGTTGATAAGTTGTTACAAATTGAGTTAAATTACCAAAATTTTCAAGTGATAGATGTTTGTCACTAGAGTAAATTCAAAATATCCAAAGTCACCAGCACTCACTTTTATTCTAATTTGTTTCCTAAGTGAGAGAGGGAAGAGAGCATATACCACCTGATATGTGTGTAAGGCAGGGCAAATGAAGCTGATGACCTCTGCTTGCCCCGGATGACTTACTTGCATTCCCCTAACGCACGGTACTTTCTCATTTCTGTCCTTTGTATTGCCCTTTCCTCTACCCAGAATTTCCTCATCTCATTGATCCAACTGTTGAGTACCTATATATCCTTCAAGACTCAGCCCAGGTGTCACCTCCTTTACGTAGCTTTCCATGATCTTCTTCTGTGGCCCTGCTCTCACCTTGTCAAAGTCAAAGCAGTCTATGTTTCCTCAGTGCCTGTGCAGACCTGTTATAGCACCTGTCACCGTGGATTGTAGTCTTTATCACTATCAGTCACCTAACTCCCAGACTGTGTGCTTTTTGCAGACAAGGACTGTGAATTGTTCATTTGTGCTTTCCCAGGTCTTAACTTAAGGTCTGACACAATAGACTCTCAGTTATACCTCAGATGAACCAAGAAGTTGAACAACCATTGAGTTCTGCCTATCATTTTTCTCGTTTCCTAGCCCTGAATTACATCAATGATGCTGGTTCTGTTGAAATGATGGGGACAAATACTAGCTAAAAGGGAGCCACTGCCTGGCCAGTTTGGGGTTGAGTGGATAGATCACTGGAGAAGCTATAACTCCTGAGAGGAAGAAGTGGCTAAAGTAGAGAGAAAACCGTGGACCAGTAACCAAATTGGCACGTTCTACTATCTCCAGCTTTTTATTTTTATTTTTACTTCTTGGCATGACTTCCACCTTCTTTCCTTTCCCTATGCCCAAGCCTGTCCCCATATATTGACACGTATATGTACCTCACCCCCCACTCCAAAAATGCTTGAGTCTCATTGAATTGAACACTGGCACATGCCAACTCTGTGTCACATCCAACCTTCAGGTCAAGCAGCTGGTCTCAAATAGCAACAATTAGTTGAGAAAATGAGATACCCACATGAAAATGTTACCAAACTTTGTGGGCAGGACCATAAGAAAAATGTGATGGCTCTTTTCATTGTTCTAAAGGTCAGGGTCTTATCTTACCTTGTCACTCTAAAGGCATTTATTAACCTCAAGTCAGATGTCCTAACCCTTGAAGTTAAAAGGATGCACAGCAGGACTGGTTTTTGTTCATTGTTATTAATGATTTCACAGTTTTCCTAGCATATTTAGATGACATTATTGAATCTTCCAAATGTAGATGTCATCTCCTTTAACAAGAAGATCAAAAAGTGAGTTTCCAGGATGATGTGCACTGTGTGACCGTGTTTGTTTATGTTCTGTAGTGGCTATCCCATGAGTGGAAGTGCTGACCGCATCCAGAAGTTGAGGAAGGAATATTATCAAGCTCGGAGGGAAGGCTTCACATTATATGAAGACGACGAAGGAAGAGCAAGGCCATCTGATTATGACCTTCACTGGGTAAGCCCAGGCCTGATTCTAATCGTTGAATTTGTCTTCACTGAGATAGTTCAGAGCAGAAGAACATGGTCAAGGATGCTCTACATATATCAAGTTATGTTTGGGTTACTCCAACCACAGCAGTCCCCTCCCACAGAAGTTGTTCCCATAAATCAAACCACACTAACGCACAGTAGTTCATTTTAATTGCTCTCATATTTACTTCTTGATGGACTTGTATACCAACTTGGAGTGGAGCAGATGTTTGCTGTTTTAAAGAGGGCAAGGAATCTTTGTCAGCATCTACTGAGCCTTAATCCTTGCCCTCCATTTCTTGGGTCTCAGACATCTGGGCAAGCATTAATAGAGCATGCAACATAAGTCATCTCGCCTTTGAAAACTGGTTATTAGAAATACATTTCAGAAGGGTTATCTTCAGAGACATCAATTGTTCGTATATTGCATTTGAACAATTCAGATTTTGCTGATCTTACCAGACACTAAAATCATTTTATTTGGAGACAAGGGCAATTTTTGTATTAGAGGAGTCCCTTTGCCAATCCTTCAACATTTGGGAACAAAAAAGAATATTGTGACCTTAAAGAGATAATCTTTGTGTGTTTTTCAGGATAGTGATTCATTTTCCTGTCTTTTTCAAGAATGCAAGGCTGTACTTACAAAGTACATTTGACTCTTGAGTAGCCACAAAAATGCCCCAGAGGAGGGTGCTTAGAGTGTGATTAAAAGTACATCTTGCCCTGGCCACTGTGGCTCAGTTGGTTGGGTGTCATCCCACTGTGCACCGAAAGGTTGGGGGTTCAATTCCAGTCAGGGCACATGCCCCGAGTTGCAGGCTTGATCCCTGGTATGGGATGTGCAGGAGGCAACCGATCAACGTTTTGCTCTCACATTGATGTTTCTCTCTCTTCCCCTCTCCCTTCCTCTCTCTATAAAAACCTATTTTTTTAAAAAAGCACATGTCACATACTTAGAATAATGCCAGACATGGAGTTTTGGTGTTCAATAAACAGTAGCTCTCATTGCTAACGTTACTGTTGGAGCAGAGTTGTGTGTGGTAAAAGTAACGTCCTTTTGTGAGTCAGCTCCCACTCGCCCCCCTTTGATGATTACTGCCCTCTACTACAGTTTTTAGTGTTTTCCTGAGACCCACGTAAGGAACTCTCTTATCCCTGGTGGCCACAAAAGACATCAACTCTTTTGAAGGGCAAATCTATTAAAAGAAAGTTCTCTTTTCTGATTTTCACACTCATATTTATGTTCACAAGGTCAGGATTAAGAGAGGAGAGTCCAGTGACTGAACTGAGTCCCTCTAGTTTTCACTTCAGTGCTGTGGCTTCCCATGTGTGACACTCAGCACTTTTACACTGCTGTTTAAAGTCGGTTTCAGCGTTCACCACTGCTGTGCAGAGCAACTGAAACTCCCTGGCCCAGTAGGTTCTTCCACGTATGATAGATTCTAAAGACACTCATCAGAAATGCATGGTAAGGATTGGCAGCCTCCAACCAAATGGCTTCAGCCTCTTCTAGAGATAGGCATCCTATGACTATAGGTCAGAGCAAAGAGCTATTTATTGGTTTTATTACAGACGTTTGAATTAAACAGAATGACATTAGCAGTGATGAGGCAACTGGGCACTTAAATTCTCGGTAGCAGAAGAAAACAATTCTGCAGAATAACAATGTAGGTAACAGTTCACTTCATTTCAAAGTTAGTTCAGATCTACTTATTGACTCTGATGAGAAGCTCTGCTCCTTCCATCAAACAAACAAGCAGTAAAACAAAGGGAAGTCGTTTCCCCCATAACCAAAACGAGACACCATGTCCAATGCTTGAAAAGTTCTTCCATCTCAAAACCACTCTGGGCAAAATAAGATAAGTAATTTTAGAGTAAGCCGCCCTGCTTTTTTAAGCTTTATTTTATGTGATCACTTTATATCGAGCTGAAAGAATGAAAAGGCTTAACCTTCATGAGACTTCAAGTTTTCTCTGACCTTCACCAAACCTGAGCTAGATAAATGCACACTTGGGTCCTTCCTATCTTAATGATTCTCTCTTTATGCCAAGCAAAAGTGTAACTAGATCAACCATCTAGTGAGTAGAGAAGTATCTCTATTTTAATTTGTGTTTCCCATGCTCGAGTGTGTTGAGCTTTGCCAAAAGTGACTGATTTTATGCTTCCCAGACAATTGGGAGCTAGGCTTCCCAAAGGGATGCTTGGGAAATGCTCTGTCATAAAAGACGAGGGCTCTTTGTCATGGCCTGAGATACTCCAAACTAGGGATTAGAATCTCAGCGTCCTTTCCTGTCCTCTCTCCAAGCCAAGGAAAAACACTAGTATCTTTTGTCCAGCGTAGGCCTGAGAAATCACACTGTGGTCTTGCTACTTTTGGAGAGACCTAGGAAAGCAAGTTTAGAAAGTTAACATTTCATTCCTGTTAGTCCGCCAGACCCAACAAGGCAGCTTTTATAAATGAAACTGTGGCTCCTGGATCGAGCTGGTCTTCAGCATCACTTGTTAAAGTCTGGTCAACAGTCCTTGAGGGGGAGAAGTGGGCCCAAGAGAGGCCCCCAGGTGCTTCTCCAGGTGATCGTCAAGGTTTCTGATCCACATTCTAAAATTATAGCATTAATTCCAACCACTTCAGTAAGCACCAAAGTAGGTCAGCTTCTCTACCAAGATCATTACATGGACCAGTGTCATTAAAAACACTTTCATGGACTCAGAACTCCCCAAGTCCAGCACCTCATTGAGAGGCCTAGCAAATATTCCCCAGAGTCACATGATACTGGGGAACTTCTGAACTGCCGAGAAGGAAATTAGGAAGACAAGTTACCTAATAAGTATATTTAAACTAGTTTTAAAATAGGCCAGAAAGAATGTAAATACGCACACGAAAGTCTTCAAAGCCAAAATGATGAAAGCAATCACTTTCTATGATTATTTTTTAAAAGAAAATATATTTTTGTCGATGTGACTAATAATCTTTCTTTGGCCGGCCCTGGGCTTTCTGGGTCTGCCCTCGCCACCCTTCTGGTTGCTGCCTCCATTATCTCCCGCCCAGGGGCCCGCAGCCCAAGGCCTCCCACTGTGCTCTTGGGCTCTCCCTTGCTCTCACATCAGTCTCTGCCCTCTCTTCTCTCTGTGCCTCTTAGGCAATTTTAACAAATACTTGCTCAGACTCAGTGTAGGTCAGGCGTTGGTAACAAGAATACAATATTATCTCTACCTTGGAAGCGCTCACAATGTAGCCATGAATACAGACATCTAAAACCAAACCAAAAAAAACAGACAATAATTATGTGAGAAATGCTATCGTATAGAGAGGTGTTAGCTTCTAAATGAGCTCAGAGAAACAGTAAGGAATTCTGGCGGAGGCAGGGTGTACAGTTAAGGGTGCTGGGAAAGCTACAGAGGCTATTCGAGCGTTCCCTCGGCAGACACACTGTGTTCTTTTTCTCTCAAATTTGGTGTGTTTTTTTCCCCAAAGGAGCTCCTTATTTGTTCCCTTTATTTGTGTTAAAATCAATGGATACACACAGATCGCAGGATTTGTAAATATGGACATGAGACCTTAAAAATCTTTTCAGCCAGTCTGTTTTGTAGCTATTTTCCCATCTAGGCTCTGAAAAGCTGTAAAGAACAAACTGAAAGAGAATTTCAATGGCTGCAAGTGAAAAGGCCTGGTGAGTTTTTATAGGGCCAATTAAGTAGGCAAGATATGCTAGCTGTGAAGTGTTAATATTTGCCAAAAGAAAACATAATACCTGTTATCTGCTGGTATTTTATTTTCTGTAAAACTTGTTAAGACTGTCACAGTCCTCAGGCAGTAAACTGGGGTTTTTTTTATTAGTGGATAAAGATTATCTGCTTATTTAACAGTAACCTGAATATCCCTTAAGTAATTTCAGAGATGAGATGGCTCTAGAGTTTTCTAAAAATATTAGTACCTTTAATACTGACTTTTTTAAAAAGCTGCATGGAATATATACCTCCTCCCAGCTTTTTTTTAACTCTTTGACTAGTTTAGAAGAATGTTCATCTAAAGAAGGGGTTTGTAGACACATGGATGGGAAGGAGGTTGCTACTTTCCACTGACATAAAAGACATGGTGATTTATCTTTCCGGGAAAGGGGATTGATTCAAGAAGGTGATGGTTGGGTGAGTAAATGAAAACATTCTGAAAGATTTGCTCACCCTGTTATGAAGATAGCCTAGGAACCAACCTAAGGGAACATTCTTGGCAGCCGTAGGGACGATGAAAGATGCGTCCGGTGAATTCTGCATCAGAGGAAGGGGAGAAACAATATGCTGATATCATGCTAACCATCTTGAGAAAGGGATCTAGGATGGAATGTGTAAGAGCCACAAGTATACAAACCATCAGCATGTTATTTCCTAAAAATGAGAAAGAAGAGAAATGAGCTCCTGCTGTCAGTGGGCCAACACAAGAATGGAGACTAGACTGCGTTTTTCTTCTCTGCTTCTTAATGGCATCTGATTAAAACTTAGGACATTGATAAACAACCTTTGATTAGTCGATGGCTCTTAAGCTGCAAAGAGTAGAAACTTAATGCAAACTGGCATAAGCAAAAAAGGAAATTTCGTTGGCTTATATGACTTTAAGTCCATCAGCATATGTGACTTCAGGCAAAGCTGGATCCAACTTCTCCAAACAGACCAATTAGGAATCTCTCTCCACCTCTCAGCTTTGTTATTCTCTCAGTGGGCACCATTCTCAAGGGGCTCCCTGCATATGGTGACAAGACAGCCATCAGCAGCTTCAACCCACCTCTATAGAAAGAGGTTGACTCACCCCCAGTACATCCGGGAAGCCCTAGAACTGATGTTCAATGCAATACTCAGTACCTCATTGACTCAGCATGGGTCGCATGTCTACTTCTGTACTCCTATGGCCAGGAAGATGTAGTGCTCTTGCTGGCTAGAACTAGATCAAAAAGCTACCCCTGGGACCAGAAAGTAGAATCAGACCTATATAAG